GCATGGCAACTGTGTCGCATATGAAGTCGGCGGCGCAGCACCATCCCAGCATGTCAACACCTTCGTCCGCAACGTGGATGTACAGTTCACCGCCTGCCGCTATGCAGCATCACCACTATGCGATGTCAAGTGGCGCCGCACCTTTCATGTCCACAGCTGCACAACCGACGCGTATGCCGCACGTTTCGCACGCTTACGACTCACATCCGCAGGATTCGCATCACTACTTCAGCTACACGCGTCCCAACCCGAATAGTATGGCCGCGCATCTGTCGCAAGAGTCGCACTCGCCAAATTCCTTGCGACACAGCGGCAACAGCCACAAACAAAGCGGTGCAGGACGAAAGCCATGGTTGCATGAGCTATTGCAAAAGGAAGTGGTGAAGACATCTGCCAAGCCTAGTTACTCTTCAGCACCCAACAAGTTTGCCTATGAGACTACCAAGCCAATCTATGAACGCATGCCGTCCATGAACTCTATGGGCAGTGGCTTCACTCCGATCACGCCAGTTACTTTCGTTTCAGCGCCGCCAACCATCGCAACAGCGGCTGCGACGATGACCACAACGACGACAACTACAACACATGCGCCACCACAGCCTTCCGTTGCGTTCACTCCGAGCGCTTTTTATCCAACTACGAGTACTACTACGGCACGACCAACTACCAGCACCACAGCGCGTGTCATTTACACCACACCCACTACGGCCCCGACAACACCGCGTACGCCAAGCTCTACGACAACGTCCCGCCTACTAATACCGACAACAAGCAATTTGGCTTACAGACCGACTGTTGCGCCAATGCAAATGACTACAGACTCGCTATTCTCACACTACAAGCAACCTGAGGCGCCGCTTCGAGGTCCAATGTATCTTATCATTGAAGGTCATTCGAAAGTGAAGAAATACGGTAAGAATGGCATCAACCTGAATCTGCCGAAGATAGTGCCCGTAATACCGAAACGTGAGCCGGTTGTACGTATCGCCGAGCCGGGTGATGAAAAACGTGGTACACCCGAGACATTCCAAGTGGAACACCTGCATGTGAAGACATCAACGTCTATGCCGACGACCACGACAACGACAGCTAAAACTGTAACGACTCCGAAACCTACGACGACCGCAAAGCCTGTGCCCACTACGACAGCTAAGCCTGCACCAGCTTCAAAGAAGGTATCAACAGTTCTGAAGTCTGCGATGCCAGCAAACCTTACCGCAGCAACGAAGTCCGCCAAAGAGACAACTCAAAAGCCAACAGCAACTTCCACAACAACAACCGCACGCCCTGCAGCCACCACTGCCGCTCCTAAGGCCTCAACCACCACAGCCGCTACAGCTAAAGCAACCACGAAACTTACTATGAAGGCAGCGCCGCCTACGTCCAACACCAAACCACAGCCAGCCGCAATAAAACCGACGCAAAATGAGCCACTAATCAAACTCGAGCTGCCTAATGATCCGCCAACTGGCATGCAGGGTCTCCTGAGTCTGCTTGACTCATCGCTGAGTGGTTTCTTCGCAGAGCAAGAGCAACCATTAGATATGCCGCCAGCAGCTACGCAGCTAAGTGAAACAAAGCAGGCGACTAGCGCGCAGATTTATGTGACCACACCGAGTACAGTGTTGCAGCCAGTGAACACCACACATTCAGCGGTCCCACCCGTCAATGCCGATGCACGCGTTGGCAGCAATGCCAACCGCATTATGGCCGCCGCTGCAACCGCTACGGACGTAGATCAATCGGGGTCAGCAGAGTTCAGCTACACCACAGATGTGCCGCCGCGTGAGGTGCGCCAGGTATTCGATTATGATCAGCGTCCGGAATCACGTCTCAAGGATTTCGTAATTGAAAGCATTGGTGGCGAGGGCGATGAGAGCGCGTCAGCTTTCTACGAAGACGAAGAATTCGAGGAGTACGACGACGACGACGCAGAGGACGTTGGCAGTCAACAGCCGATCAAGCGTATTGATAAGTTTGTTGGTTTTGTAGGCGACTATGAAAATGTGGCGTTAGAGGAATTGGGTTTGGGTGATGCTGTGCCGGTGGCGAAGACAGCAGCAGCAGCAGCAGCGTCAGCGACGGCGTAATTGCACATGTTGACAGGCGATAAGAAGATCTGTTGGCACAACAAATGCGGCTAATACTGATCTTCCTGACCTTTGTCCACTTGCGCGAAACGAAAACAAACAAAGTGATTGCGCGCGCTTGCGCAATTGGATGCTTCGCGCTCAGCTCAACAACAATCAGTCATTCAAACGTACAGTCAACACACAATTTAAATTTATTGCCAGTTGGCACTCAAATTTGCAGCTGCAATAAACAATTTATACTTAACTACAACAACGTACTGCTCTACACCAAATCTACTTTTTAAAACTCGTATTTTAGAAATGCAACTTTTTGTTTAGCATCTTCGTTTTGTCTTCTGATTAAATCTTTTAACTTAAATGTGTGTAAATACTACAGCTTTATTTATGTATTGTATTTGTATTTGTATTTATTTATTTATGGCTTTTTTTTGTGGCAAAGATTTATTCACTTACTACGCTTAGGTTTCGTCACGATTATTTTGTGATTCAATATTTACATATTTAAATGTCTGCTTAGATTTTAAGTTTATTTACTTTATATTCTATGCTGTCGACTTTAAATTTAAGATTATTAAAGGAAAAGTAAATAAATATGATTTATTTAAATTAAAATATGAATTCTGGTTTTATGGAGAACCTTAAATTATAAATGCTTAAGGACCGATTTCACAGTGGAAAGTTAACGGCCCCAGCATCTGGCTCCGCACCATCTGAGGACATCAATAAGATCTACCCTAGGGAGTTTTCCAGTTTTCAAGGATACTTCGCTTGCGTGGTATATAATCTTTCTCTTTTCTTTTACAGCTCCACAGATCTATTATCATTACAGGTAAATTAATTTCTTCATGATCGAATGATCGGAACTAGACTCAAAGTAGTATGGGACTGCATACCCACAGGACATAAACGGCATTGACAGGGAGTCGGTCTCGACTTAAATCGACTCCCGACCTTTGAATGCCATTTTGAGTACACAATCACCCGACGTGGACGGGACTAAGCTCTGTCTACCTCGAAATACTCGCACCACAATAGCCTAACTTTTTTCTGAACCTGAGCAGAGTGAATGCAGATGTGCCCAATGAGTGCCCGGCATACGGAGAGTCGCCACATGACTCACGGCACCTCTTTGCACAGAACCAATGGAAGTTGCACACTTCCTGGGCCTCCCTTTAGCTGAGTCTGACGACAACGTTGATGGACAAGCCGATCCGAGCGGGGTTTGGTAGCCGCTACAACAACAACAACAGTATGGGACCACCGCCATTATGGCTCATGATCTTGAACAAACTACTGGCAAAGCTAGACTCTCAGAGAATCAAGACAGTGGCTTACGACGATGATGTTCATAGGGACACTTATATCGGGTCAGTTTTTTTCGGTCATAAGTGATATTATGGAAGGGGCTCTAATGATGGTAGACTCCTGGTCCATAAATTGTTCTCCTTGCGTAAACCCTGACAAAACTGACCTTGTGCTTTTCAGGAATAAAAATAAATTACCCATTTTTACTAAACCAAGATTTCGAGAAACGGAACTGGATCTGTTAAACAGGCTGAAATATCGTGGAGTTATTCTGGATCCCAAACTTAACTGGACGCCACATAGTGAAGAGCGTTCAAAGAAGGCCTCGGTGGCTCTCTATGCAGCGAAGAGAATGCCAGCTGCACTCCGACCCATACTCTCTTATGCGGCGCTGGTCTGCTGGCCAGCCTTACTAATGATTACGTAGTTAAAAAGCTAAGCGGACTTCAAAGATCAGCAGCCGCTGGCGTAATAGGTGCAACGAGATCCTGCCCGAACGACTTTTTGAACGTGCCTCTTGATTTATTACCGATAAATATATTTTTCTTTGGAATTATGTAGGCAGTAAGGAACATCAAAGAGAATGTACCCACTTAAAACCAAAGTTTTGTTAGGAATGAGTAAAGAAGATATCTACAAACTTTCTGCAGTGTATACAAGGCAGTACCCCGTTAGGGCGGATGCCAAAGGATAGAACTGCCCTTCAAAAGGTTCAAATGCAGTTGCGATGACCCGGGCTCAAAAGAGACTGTCGAGCACTTACGGTGCGAGTGTCCAGCCCACGCAATGTGAGGTTAAATACACTCGGCAAACCATTTCTGCAGAATATTTCATAGTGCAGCTGCCGCTCTCTGTATGACGTCCTGAGATTCATTAAAGCCGCCAAATGACTGTAGGTTGCACGAGTTGTGGAATCAAAATTTCAATATTAATTTCTATAGAAACTTGAGACCATTTAAGGCTTACAATTCCTAGTGGGTACGCCAAAGGCATACAGTGCATCTCAACGTACTCATTAAGAGCACAAATTGTTGCATACTTACAGGAATAAAGCATTGCTGAACATTTCACTTGTAAAAAAAAATCAAAGAAAACAGTTTGAGTATAACTGGAAAAACCACTATAGGGAAAGCGCACTCTTAAAGCGATTGTATCCCAGTAGGCAGAGGTAATGTTTGGGAATGCAAAAAGTAATGGTTAGACCCTATAAATACAATTTTTAAATAAAAATAAAAATAAAATAAATCCACGCCACAGGTTTTGAACCCGTTACCAACAACACGGCAGTCGAACAAGCATCCATTCTGCAATATATATACATGAGTTAGTTCTTAAACTTTTTGTTTTCTTTGTGCCTTCAAAACTACACATCATCCGCTCGCTGACATTGCAATGCATCTTTTCGTTGAACGGTAGTTGTTAATTTTTTCTTGATAGAAACAAATAATGAATTCCGATTTTCCCACTGGGTATGTACTATATAGATACAAATGTACATATGGCAGTATGCATTTATGTGCACAATACATACATACATACATTTTTTTTATGATTTTTTTAATGAGTCAAACCTATTGAAGATGACGATGAAAGACGATCGTGATAAAGATATACAAACAGCATAAAAAAGAAAAAGCAATAAAATCGAATGATGCTGGAAGATAATTGAAATAGAACATAAAAATCATGAAATTCGAGAATGATGAATATTTGTTAGTGATGTTTCAAGCATAAAAGTTAACAAGTAAACAAAACCGAATTTCTCATATAAAAATTTAGGAGTACCGTTAATTTTATCATGTTCCAATGATCGGATCTAAACTAGATTAGTAGCCCACCTCTGAGACACTACCTTTCCGTTGCAAAGAGAATTATCGAAATCGGTTGACTTGGTGCAAAGTTATGCGGTAACATACATACAAAAAAAAAAAAAAAATATTCCAAAGAACTAATAACCTCCTCCTTTTTTGGAAATCGGTTAAAAATATAATAGAAAAAAGTAATATATTTATTATTGAGTTTATATTTACGAGCGTTAAGGTGGTAATGAAATAAGATAATTGTAAAAGAAAGTGGGAAAACATCTCAAGAAGTTTTTTTAAATTTAAAAAATTTGTTTTTATTATTTTCTAGCCTAATGACAATTTATTAGTCTATTCGAATAGATCTCAAGTGAAAAATATCCAGCAGCAACTTGCAGGAGAGTAACGAACGATTCTCTCTCAATTTGCAAGTTATCCCGAGAAGTACGCGAACGCAAAATTATCAAAAACTTGCAAGTTTTTAGTACAGCTGATCGAAATTTTGTTTACATACAAATGCATGAAACTGAAAACACGAAAATAATATAAATTTAAGGTTTGCCTAAAGTTATTTCCTAAGAAAACGTAGGTAAATGAGTATTAGCTTTATCCCGAGACATTTGCTAGACGTGCAAGTTATTTTAAACTGAAAAATCACCAAAATAAATTTCATAATTTTCATAAATTGCAAACAGATGTTTTTGATTGATCAGCTGTTTTTCTTGCTGGTAAAAATATTTCCAGCGGGATTTAGCAACTTCCCCTCCAAATCAACTGTCACTTTGCGGTCTCAATTTTCCCTACTTTGCAAGTTTTTTGCGTACGCGAACGCCAAAACAAGATAATTTGTGATAATTTGCAATAATTATCTGCTTGCCGAACAGATTATAGGTGCGTTCGCGTAGCTGGTTATTGTTCATGTTTAACCAAACCTTACAAGTTTTTGCGTTCGCGTACGCAAAAAACTTGCAAAGCAGGGAAAATTGAGAGAGCAAAGTGACATTTCATTTTGAGGGGAAGCTGCTGGTTTCTGCTGGAAAAATTTTTGCCAACAGCAATTCGCCAACAGGAAAACAGCTGATCAAAAACAGCTGGTTGGCATTTACGCAAATCACAAAATTGAATTTGATGGTTTGAGAGTGAAACTTGTAAGTTAAGTTTTAACTAACCGCCAACACAGTTTCTCATATAACAGGTTGGCCAAATATTAAGTTAAGTTAGGTTACGGAAATTAAGTCTAGACTAACTGAGCTTTAAGTCTAGACTAACTGAGCTTTAAGTGTCGATATTTAAGTATAAATAAGGATAAGGGCTAAGCCATCCGCTTCCGGTGAGCAAATATCTTTTTTGGGCACATATGTCAGTTACGCGGTTTTGTTCTTAAGTATTTGAGATGTTACTAAGTACCGAGTATGCTAGTACTTACTCATTTTCACAGCGCTAAATACCTAACGAAACACCGCGTACAGAAGTGCTTTGAGAATTTGGCTTCACTAAATATTTTCTGGATACAAAAGTACTTAGTATTTATGACTTGATTAAATACTAAATCCATGCTTTTTACTTATTGCAAAAATAAAGAATTTTGACGATTTTGAGGATTTACGAGACTGCTTTGAGATGTCTAGAATTTTCGAGACTATATCGAGATTTTAGAGATTATTTCTGTATTTTCGGGAGCTACTTCGGCATTTCTGGGACTATTTCTGGATTTTCGGTAATTTATATTTCGGGATATTTCGGGTAACATCTATGTATTTCGGGATTTTTGAGACTTCGTGATTTTAAGGATTTTCGGGATTGTCGGCATTATTTCGGGATTTTCAGGAATATTCCGGGATTTTTGAGACCTCTTCGGGGCTATTCCGGGATTTTCGAGACCTCTTCGGAGCTTTTGGGACTACTTCGGGATTTTCAGAACTATTTCAGGATTTTCGGTATTCTAGAGATTATTTCGAGATTAATTAGAGGTTTCTAGAATTTTTGGGGTTTTCGAGGCTGCTTCGAGATTTGTAGGATTCTAGGGACTATTTTGGGTTTTTTGATACTAATTTTATGTATCATTAAAATTGGTCATTCTTAAATCGATAAAAATTTCAATAAGTAATTCGATAAAATATTGATAAATATATCGATTACAAAATAGAAAAAATTATCGATACATATATCGATAAATTTATCGACATCAACATCAATTAATACAACGAAATTTTCGAAATAGTCCCGAAAATTGAGGTGAGTGTAAGGTAAGGTTTTAATTATAAAAATTTGTTCTAAATCATATTGTATTTAGTTTGAATAACAGAGTATTAACCGCCTGCTGAATACTTTCATTTTTTGAACTTCAGTATGTAGCACCTCCTAAATAGCCAAGTTTTTTTTTACATTTATATCTAACATCTTCTAAATACCTAAGTATTTTTTACTAGAGTATTTAGCAAA